TTGCTGCCAAGACTGACAAAGCTAAGTTTGATCCCCAGGACCTACAGGGTGCAAGACAAGAACTGACTTTGTCCTCTGGTCTCCACAGGCACACTGTGACATGTGCATACTCTCATACACATTCAAAATAAAAACAAATAAATGTAAAATTCATTTTTTAAAGAAAGAAATAATTAAGAGAAATTTTTTCCAATCTACTATCAGGGGACATAGATGTCTTATTAATTTTTTCTTTATTGTGTGATAAGTATTGCAAACATTTATCTTGTAACTCAGGTGAACGCTCAAAGAGGCAAGGGAAAAATATAAGCCAATCCTGAAGGGCCCTAAACACAACACTCACAACAGGTCCCACCAATGACTAAGTCACAAGCTGATGCTGATGCTTCTTCTCCCCACAAAGCAAGCGAGATCCCAGGAAACTGCATTTTAAAGTCAAACCTGAACAAACTAGAAACAATTAATTATTTCTTCCACTCTATAGAAATTCATATCATACTTTATTACTAAATGCTGGGGATTGGACCCCAGGCCTTGGACATATAAAACTATTATACATTACATTAAACTATTATATATTATAGGCTATTATACATTATATATTTTATATATTATGTGTACTATTATACATACACACACACAAAAAAAAACCCACATATTTTACTATTAAAGGCATGAAAATTTCTTCAACTCACAAAGTACTCCACATCTTAAGGAACTGAGTTTTGAGGTAGATGTTAGAGTAAAATGATCTAAAATACCTCCCACTAATAATACCAATTACATTTAGTTAACTGGGCATGTGCAGGACCATGGGGCAAGCCGGCCAATTAAATGTCACTTGGCTTCATCCTTCCTGCTTTAAGTGGAAATCGGACCCCTCAAATCTTTTCGTCAGTCTTTTAAAAAAAAAAAAAAAAAAAAACAAACTTAAATTAACTTAAAGATATAAATTCATTTGCTTTTCTGTCTTTCAGAACAAAGAATTGTGCGTATTTCTAGGGAGATCATGTCCCAATAACATACTTTTTAAATTGAAAACTTAATTACCAGGAATGAAAGCGGCGGTGACCGCAGGGGGAGGTGTTTCTAAAGGCGTCAGAACGGGTTAGTGTGAAAATGAAATTTCGAGAAAGCAGTTCGTCATGTAAAACTGACACTCGATCGGCCAGCAGAGGCGTGTGCATTCATTTCCAAGCCCACTTAAGCAAAGCTGGCCCCACTCCGAGCACCTTCCCAAGCCAAGGCTCTGTGAAAGCCGGCATTCACCAGGCCAGGCACAAACAGGGTTCCCTTAACCTACTGCCCTCTGGACACATCACTCTCTGTTAAACAGGCAGCCACTGCCAGATGCTCTGGTTAAAAATGGTCCCAGATGGTCGGCTGTCCCCTTCACAGAACACCCTGCCCCTTCCCACATCTTAACATGTGCCTGCCGAAAGCCTGGCCAGGCCCTGGTGGGAACTGAATAAAAACGATGAGAATCGGGGAGGTCTCAGGTTAGAAGGCACCTTGAAGACAGTCTGCTCAACAGCTGAACAGTACTTGAACCCACACAACTGCCTCCCTGCCAGCCACTCGGGTGGCTACTAGCAGATGCAGAGGTCCTGAACCTGCTGCCTAGAGAGGAAGCACCTACGGCCACAGAGGCCTTGTTACCTTGAACTCAAGCAATCCAGTCACTCAGGCTAATTCCACAGTCAGGAAACTCGGAGCTACTTAAATTGATATGTCGTGTCCACCACCCCAAAATCATGTTCTAGTTGACGCATTTCAAGTGATTTGACGGGCCTGGAGAGATGGTCATTGACATGCTTGCCTCACAAGCATGACGATCTCTGGATCCAGTAGTACATGCAGAAAAATACAACCTATGTAATCCCAGCACTGGGAAGGCAGAGGCAGGGGGTCCTGCCCCTGGTGCTTGCTGGTTAGTTTATGTAGCCGATGGGTGAGCTCCAAGTTCAGTGAGGGAACTTGTCTCCAAAAAGGAAGGGGGGATCAAAAGGAAAACAACAGACATTGACCTCCAGCTTCCATACATATGTATATACAAGTACATAAGTGCACGGGGAAATGGGCACTTCCCCACACACAAGTGATTTTTTAAATGGAGCTACCTCAGATGGCATGTATAACAGATGTTACAGAAAAAAAAAAAATGACAAAAGCAGCCAGGTGGTGGTGGCACACGCCTTTAATCCCAGCACTGGGAGGCAGAGCCAGGCAGATCTCCGTGAGTTCGAGGCCAGCCTGGGCTACAGAGCGAGATCCAGGACAGACACCAAAACTACACAGAGAAACCCTATCTCGAGAAAAAAAACAAATAAATAAAAAAACAAACCCATAATAGTTTACAGTTTGGAAAGCTATTATTTGGACAGCATCACGGTTCTAAATAAATAAATAATAAAAATAAAAACCAGAGGGCCTACCTCCCTTCCTCTGTCTCCCCCCAAATGGATGAATCGAGGACCACGTCTGTATATGTGCGTCTCTTCCTTATGTCGTCCATCCACAGACGCATGTATGCATACACATCTCTAGAGAAAGCTTAACTGGTAACTTAGCTGGGGCTGGAGAGGTGGCTCCGGAGTCAAGAGCACACACGGCTTTTCCAGAGGACCTGAGCTCTCACTACCCACCCCGGGCAGCTCACACCCACTTCCAGGAGCTCTGACCCGCCCTTCCAGCCCCAGGGCACCTGCAGTCCCATACACATACCCCCGTCCCGCCCCCCACAGATACATACACAGGGTAAAATAAATAACTCCTAACGAGATGTTAAAGAACTGCTTTTAACCACCGGGGATTTTGTTTTTCTGAGACTGGCTGCCCTTGAACTTGCTACGCAGCTGAAGGTGGTCTTCAAGTCCTCACCCTCTCCACCTCCTCTGGAGCGCAGGGATTGCAGTGTGAGCCACCATTGCCCAGCTTGAGACTGCCAAAGTCTCAATGCACCATTTCTGAGTTTCGTGCAAAAGCAGAGCTTAGTTTATTTCATTTTCTAACCCATTATTCAACTTGTAAGATAAGCTGCTGGAATGTATGCCCAAGAAGCATGTTGAGGAACGGGTTTCTGTTTCTCCTACATACTTCAACGTCTTTAACAATGAGAACAATCCAAGTACTGAGTTTGAGCTATAGATTCTTTCTTGTATATTTTCTGAACATTTACTCATTTTATCCATATGAGTGTTTTGCCGGCATATATATGTCTGCGTACTTATGTGTGTGCCTGGTGCCCTAGGGGGCCAGAAGAGGTTGTCAGATCCCCTGGGACTGGAGTTACAGATGGTTACAAGCGGCCACGTGAGTGCTTGTGTCCTCTGGACCAGTGGCAAGTGCTCTTAACTGCTGAGCCATCCCTCTAGGCCCCCCAAATTATCTTGATTTATGTGTCTGCAGGAGTGTCTACGTGTGAAAACAAACGATGCCCTGAAGTGGTAGTTACAGGTGGGTGTGAGCTGCCATATTCTGGTGTGGGGCAATAGCAGCTGCGAACCACTGGGCCACCCCCAGCCCAGATCTGCAGCTTTTCATCAATTGCCTCACAGCCCGTTTCCCACTGGATACAAGCAACAAGTCCCCTCTCATCAATAGTGAACTCACGGAAAGGGAGGGCACACTGAGAAGCCACCGGGAGACATACATGGAAGGCTCGGGGCCCTCGAGGCCGGGCTAACATCATCGTAACCAGTAGATTAAGGACGCTCAACCTGGACCATATGTCACTGCTCATCATTTATAAGCTTCTTGACAGAGATCGACAGTAAATTTATTTAACCGAGTGCAGATTAAATTAAAAACCAAATAATAAGATTACAAGCAAAACACCATCTGGAAAACCATGGCAAGGGACCATGGGATGGATTTCTGTGCTCCTGCATCCGAGGACAGGTTCACAGCATGTCCTGTTGACCCAGGGATGGAAATGGTGATGCCCCACACTAGGACCACTGGGCCTCTCCCCTTCCATCATCTCCAAAGGCTAATCTAGAAGGAAAAGCCACAGTGCTTCCTAAGCTCCGACTGTGTGCATAGGATGCCTCAACAACCCAGTGAGTCTCTGCTGATCTCCCAGTGTGTCTCTCTGTCTCAGTGTTCCTCTCTCCCCGCTTCCCTCTTTCTCTCCTTACAGAGCTGGGGATTGAACCTAGGGCTTCATGCATGTTAGGCAAACACTCCACCACTGAGTCATATCCCCAGGCCCAACTTCATAATTTGTTAAACACGATTATATCACACAGTTCTTTTCCCACATAAAGAAAATAAAACAAGGACAAGCCATTTTCTCTGAGAACACAGACGAAGCCATAAACAGGGATTGAGTGTCTTATCTCTAGTGTGTCTGAGACCATGGAGTAAATATTTACAGTCATGTGGGACAGAGGTGAGAGCATTATTATACACCATTTATGTAAAGAGCATTATTATACACCATTTATGTAAACTGTTTGATACCAATCAACCAAATTCTAAGTTAAACGTATTTACTATTATTCAATCATTTTACAAAACCTTCACTCTACAGTCTTATTATTGTGTGTGTGTGTGTGTGTGTGTGTGTGTGTGTGTGTGTGTGTGTGTGTGTACAGACATGTGTATAATGTGAGTGCAGGCACCCACATGTCAGCATGCATGTGGAAGACAGAGGATAATTTTCAGGCGTCAGTTCCCTCCCTCCCTGCTGACATTGGGTCACGGAGCTCAGGCCATCAGACTTGCGCAGAGAGAGCTTTTGCCCACTAAGCCATCTTGCCGGCCCCTACAATCCTCTTCTACATCCACCGGATACCCATAACAACAGGATCTCCCTGTACCAACAGTGGTCTTTAAAAAGAAAAACAGACTCCCAGAGCGGGAGGCCAGGAGAACTGTGTAAGGACACAGAGACACCGGTTCTTTGTAATCGAGTCAATTCTCTTCCATCCAATAACCCCTTCCCCAGTCGGCCGCAGCAGGAGGAGAAAGGATCTGTACAATACAGACACACTCACCCAAGCCACTCAGCGTATACAGCAGGTCCCCGGGGTCTAGGAAAATAGGTCCATTCTCCTGCTGCCCCTCCTCTTTATAAAACAGCTTGTAGCCCTGAATGGCGGCTGGGTCCTCGGTGTCTTGCAGCCACCTCACGGAGATGGTCGTACAGTTCAGGGGTTCCAAATGCAGTTCGGGAGACTTAGGGGCTGGAAGAGACAGCGCTGTGTCAGCACCCCACAGTCCACAGGAAGCCAGGGGGCAGCACACACCTCTCAGCGTCAAGCCGATGTTGCCAAGTCCAAGCGTCACACTCTGACCTAACGTTCAAACTTCCACAGTGACAAGCCAGCAGGATGGCTCAGGGGAGAAAGGAGCTTGCTGCCAAATCTGACGACCTGAGTTCAATCCCCAGGGCCAACAAAGTGGAAGAGGAGACTAAGTCCCACATGGTCTCTGCTTTCCACATGACTTCGTATGCGCGCGCGCGCGCGCGCGCGCGCACGCGCACACACACACACACACACACACACACACACGCACGCACAAAAAAAAACATTTACAAACTTCACAATGATGTTTAGTATAGAAATAGGATTTAAAATATACTACCTAAAAAACTAAGACATGTACATAACAAGAGAGCATCTATGTTCGTATATGTAATTATTTTAAAACAGTCAATTGTGTGTTCTAATTTTTACTGTAGAGTATTTCCAGTCAAATGACAGAGACCAGTCACGTTAGACTCCACACCAGTAACAGTCTACGTTCCCACCTGTCTTTTGAAGCTGATGACTTAAGAACACACGACACTATGCAGTTGGTCTTAGTTTCTATGGCCCCCCTGGCAGCCAGTCTGACTGGGATCTTGAAGGTTTTGCTGCGCAAACTAACGGAGCGATCAGCAGCTTTACCCACAAATGGGCAAACAGAAGACTTGAATCAAATGCTTGATTTGTTCATGAACCCAGGACCTTGCACATGGCAAGCGCTGTACTAACCACACTACAGCCCACTCCTCTTTTCACGCTTTCTCTCCCATAGGTTTTCATATCCCACGCTGGCTTCAAACTCAAAAACCACAGCCAGCCATGAACTTCCAACCCTCCTGCCTCGACTCCTCTCTAGTGCTGGGATTACGGGACAGCAAGTGTGAGCCACTAGACCTGGTGTGCTCAGTCCTAGGTGCTGCAGCCTGGACTTTGTGCACGTGAGGAAAACGCCCTACCAACTGAGCTATGGCACCAGTTCCAAGGAAAGGCTTAGGGTTTTTCAATTAAGTTCATAAACTGTGTAATATCTGCAAACATGACACAAAAATTTAAAATATGGGATGAAAAAAAATATGGAATGGAGAGATGACTCAACAGTTAAGAACATGGGCTGCCCTTCCAGAGGACCAGGGTTCAATTCCCAGCACCCACATGGCGGCTCACAACCAGCTGTTACCCAGTTCAAGGGATCTGATGCCCTCTTCTGGCCTCTGTGGGCACTGCACACAAGTGATGCACAGACATGCATGTAGGCAAAACACTCATACACATAAAATAGAAAATAAGAATTTAAAAAATAAGATAGAGCTATATTACGTGTAACTAGGAGTGGAAAATTCTAACTCAAACGTAAAACACTATTTCTCTTTCTGAGAAGTCCTCGGGAGGTGTTACCTTTCACGCTCGTGACTTTGGGCGTCCTGTGTGAGGTCCACACCGATGACTCTCCCAGCCCCACTCGGGTGGCAGCAGTCATCCGGACCAGATAGACACTATCAGGCTTCAGGCCTTCCAGGAGGTGCTCGTGCACAGTCCCCGGGAGCTCCACAACCTGGATGGAATTCTCAGTGCTCAGGCGGAAGGACAGCCGATACAGCACCACTTGGCCCCGCCGGTACTTGGCCGGGATGGGCAGCCAGGAGACGAGAATGTCGGTGGGACTTCGGCTCGTCAAGCTGATTTCGGGAGGTCTCAGGGGCACTAGTGAAATGAGAAAATGCATTGTTCATAAAGATTTACAATCAAGATGCTACTCAGCACCGTCACATTTGTGGGATCCTCTTAACGGCAACACACAACGTGGTTACTGTGGAGACGCTTCGGGCTGGAGCAGAGGTTCTCAGCGAAGCCAACTTCCGGCCAGAAGAAAGGAAATACAGTGAGGTGCCATCAGAGCATGGCCATCAGTCTGCCATGATGGTTAGGTGATTGCCCAAGATGAAAATCATTATTTGCTAACCACACAATGTGAGACAAATTCACAAATAAGTCTACCAAAGTCCCTCGGAAGCAAGGGAGAGTATGTCACAGTGTAGCCAGGGAGAGTATGTCACAGGGTAGCAAGGGGGCCCGGGCTTCCAGAATTACAACCGAGAAGTTTTCAATGTGTGAGAGTCTCGTATTGAAAAATAAATGTGAGCCGGGCGGTGGTGGCGCACGCCTTTAATCCCAGCACTTGGGAGGCAGAGGCAGGCGATCTCTGTGAGTTCGAGGCCAGCCTGGGCTACCAAGTGAGTTCCAGGACAGCCAGGACTGTTACACAGAGAAATCCTATCTTGAAAAACCAAAAAAAGAAAAAAAAAATTTAAAATGTGAATTTTATTTTAAATTATTACATTTATTTATGTGTTTGTGTGTGAGCCCGAACGTGCTCTGATGTTGTAGGGCAGCATCCTCTGAATTGAAGTATTCCCTACAGGAGCTCATGAGACTCCCGGGGTACACCAAGTGTCAAGCGTGGCAGATTCTGTAGGCCCCTTTGCAGAAGTACACGATGGCCTGGGGAGGGACACTGACCAGCCTGTGCAGAGGGGGGTTCTTGCCTACAAAACCTCATCTTATTTTTAAAAACCATCCACTACCTTCTTGAAAGAGTTATTTTCTGAGTATGAGTGTTTGCCCGTATTTCAGTTTGTGTACTACACACATGCAGTGCCCACAGAGCAGGCGTGGGCACCGGATGCCCTAGAACTAAACTGACAGCCAATCTTGAGAAATAAAATCCGTTTTTTAAGTGTCCTTTGTCATGTTACGACAAAAAGGTAAGGCTGAGACCCGAGAGAGCAACTGGCCTGGGGCGGCTTAATCAAACTGTTTCGTTAACCAAACAGACTTACTCACTGAAAGTGACCAAGTCTACGAATGTCTGCACTTGAGAACCCAGAACTGTGCTTTCTTACCATCCTCTAGCGTGTTCTGGGTCACGTGGTCCGACATCTGGCTGGCTCCCATGGGCATGTACGCCACGATGTAGAAAGTGTAGTTGCTGGCCGGTTCTAAGTCATCGATGATGTAATGAGTTGTGTCGTTTCCAAGGACCACCTGATACTCCTCATTATTTAAGCCTAGACCAAAGGATCCATGTTTAAAAATGACAAATATTAAGCCAGGCAGTGGTGGCCCATACCTTTAGCCCCAGCACGTGGGAGTCAGAGGCAGACGGATCTCTGTGAGTTCGAGACCAGCCTGGGTCTACAAGCAAGTTCCAGGACAGAGCTACACAGAGAAACCCTGTTTCAAAACAAACAAGACCAATATTCAAAATAAAATTAGCAAGGTCTTTCTTTTCTCCTCGTGGCTATATCTGTTGCCTTCTATGACCCGGCACGCAACGCCCTTCAGTGCACAGAAAGCTCTTTATTTCCTAAAAGCAGCGAAGCTCTTTGTCTAAAAATTACTGGTTGGAACATTTCCTAAAAAGAATCCACCTTCCCTAAGGTCGTCTACCACCTAGTCAAAACAGGAGGGGCTGTGAAGAGCGGCGAGGCAGGAGAGGGCAGCACAACGGACCACTGTACCCCAGCAAGCAAATGTCCTTGCTTAAACTCAGGCTTTCTGTTGAACATAAACAGAGAGGCGGCGGCAGGGAATACAGATTCTGCTTTTTGCAAAAACAAACCGAATGAAAAGCTGGCCTGCCAAGGATCTCATTCTGCCCCGAGAGAACATACCTCACAGGTTAACACAGGTCTTTCTGTTCTTAATACTCAAAGTGAAACGGAAGAGGGTCCCACGGTGAGCGTTCAGGTTTTTAAAGAGGGAGACAAATTCTGGGGGCTGCTTAGTCTAAAACGCATGAGGCAAGGGTACAGAAGGGGTTCTGTCTGTGTGGGCTTAATTCCTGCGGGCAGACCCGGAGGACCAGGCAGGGCACCGCCAGCCACCGCGCGCGCGCCTGCGCACAACGCTATCACCCCCGTTCTCAGCACCCGCCCCTCCTCCCTGCCCCGGATTGATAAACAAAACAGAAGGCACATTCCAGCACCGAGTTTTCCCACATTTCTGAATTAACTTCATAGCATTTTAATTAGACGAGATTAGAGGCGTTTCACAACACACTGGCTAATGGCTCGTTAATTAGGAACCGCACAGTACAATTCCTGACCCACTACACAAAGTCCTGGAGTTCAAATGAAAAAGCCTTGTTCTGGCCCTGAATAGAGTGCTGAGCGGCCTGCAGGGGCTCTAATGAAGCCAGCACAATGGTGAACAAGAGTGGGGCCCCCAAAGCCAGCCTTCCTTTCACCTTCCCGAGCCAGCAGAGAGAAGGAACACACTCCAGCGTGCTCTCACCAGAACGTTCTTCTTGCTACCGGGACCCCTGATTTACATTCAGAACATCCCTTTTCAAAACGCTGCCTCCGAGTGTAAAAACCAAAGAGCAAACCACCTGTCTCTGCAGACAGCGTGAGCCCAGGACCATTCTTGAGGGTTCACCCTGGTCCTGACGCAAGCTGCCAGACGGCTCCTGTAGAAAACTAGCTCGTGTAAACCTGAGTCAATGGAGAAACCACGAGGGTTTAGGAACAGCTCTTCTGCTTCTGCAACAATTTGGTCCAAAAGTCAGATTTAAAAAAAGGGTGTTTTTCTTAATCCTCCGAACCAGTTCTTGTTCAGAACAACAAGAACTAAAAGAGATTTGATATTTAACTTTTTAAGACTGAGGTGTGTATGTGGATTTGTGTAGGTGAGTGCCTACATTTTTGTACGTGCCTGGGCCAAAGGATGCCAGAAGAGAGGGTTGGATCCCGAGAGCTAGAGGTACGGGCAATAGGAAGCACCTGATGGGGGTCTGAGAACCGAACCCAGGTCCCCAGCAAAAGCGGCTAGTGCCTGAGCCACTGAACTGTTCTCAGCTCTGATATTTAATTTGATATGAGATACCACAAAAATGTCTTGTTAACTTTTTAACATTTTTTTTCCTTTTGGTGGTACTGCGGATTGAACCCAGGGCCTTACCCATGCTATTTGAGGGTTCTTCCACCGAGTCATATCCCCACCTGTCATGTTTAATTTCCTTTCAAAATGAAAATATTCAACATACATAGAATTGAAAGTAGCACAATTTCTGGGTGGTGGTGGCAACTCCTTTTAATTCCAGCAATCAGGAGGCAGAGGCAGGCAAATCAGTATGAGTTCAAGGCCAGCCTGGTCTACAGAGTGAGTTCCAGGACCGCCAGGGCTACACAGAGAAACGCTGTCTCAGAAAACAAAAAACAAACAAACAGAAAAGACTCTTCGGTATGGCTGCGTTGGGTCATGCTCCTGACAGTAACTCCTCACCCACGTTCTCTAAGTCACCCCAATAACATTATTGGTGGAACAGAGCTTTGATTTGTCACTGGGATCTTAGACGGAGACAGGAGTTGATGTGAGACAGTCCCCTTGGGTGAAATTCTCTCAGCTGTTATTCCTTCTGAAGACAAATATTTTGTTTTGGTTTGGATAAGATACAAACTTACGTAGCCCAAGTTGGCCTCAAATTTGCTATGCAGTCAAGGATGTCCTTGAACTTCTGATTTGCCTGCCTCTACCTCCCAAGTGTTCAGATCACAGGCATGAGTCACCACATCGGGTTCCTGTAGTTCTAGGGATCAAACCCAGGGCCTCATGCATGCCAGGTAAGCACTTTCCCTACTGAGGCTTGTCTCTGGCGGCTGAGAACAAACCCTCGATAGCAAACAGTGCTTAGGAGAAGCTCCCGGGTTGGGGACCTAGCTCAGTGGTAGAGCGCTTGCCTAGCAAGCACAAGGCCCTGGGTTCGGTCCTCAGCTCGGGGGTGGAGGGGTGGCGGGGGGAGGAAGGAAAGGCTCCCAAGTCGCCCACCTTCTGCTCTCATGTAGTGCACAGAGTAGGCGATGACCTTGTCTGAGTTGTACAGTGGCCGCTCCCAAGCGAGAAGGATGGCGGAGCTCGACATGGTTTCAGCATGAACGTTGTATGGAGCGCTGGGTCTGTCTTCCGACATGACCACGGTCAGTCTGGCTCGAGACAGAGCAGAGCCTTGGCTGTTTTCGGCCATGCACTGATAAAAAGCATCATCTTCAGGGATAATCTGGTTAATTACCAATTTGCTGAGGAAAGAAAAAAAATATTTATATCCATAAAAAAATTCCAGTGATGACATTAAAAAGCTATTGCTAAATGTACTCTCCCTTTATACGAAAACACACTGAGAACAACCAGTTCTAATAAAAAAATAATCTGCATTAATTACTTAAAATTATTCTGATTTATATCCTCAGTCTTCATCAGTATTTACGGTAGCTGAATTTTCTTTGCTTTAATTACTTTTTTTTTTAAATGGTGTTTAGTAGGAAAGCGTATTACTCTATTCCACTGTCTAAACTTAACTCATATTGCAATGCACACATGAAGTTCAGGCCAACAAAAAACCTTAAAGTTTTGTTCAAATAATGTTACAAGAATAAAAACTCTGTGTGTGTGTGTGTGTGTGTGTGTGTGTGTGTGTGTGTGTGTGTATGTGTGTGTGTATTGTGGGATGTTTGTACACTCTGTGAAGATGTATTGCTGTGATTGGTAGAATAAAAAGCTGAACAGCCAATAGCTAGGCAGGAGACTATAGGCGGGAATTCTGGCCAGAGAAAGAATTCTGGGAAGCAGAAAGGCAGAGTTGCCAGCCAGACGCAGAGGAAGCAGGATGGGCAGTACAGACCTGAGGTCACAAGGAAGAATGTAGATTAAAAACTCTGGGTAAACTTAAGTTATAAGAACTAGTGAGGAAAAGCCTAAGCTAAGGCTGAGCTTTCATAATTAATAAGTCTCCATGTCATTATTTGCGGTTGGCAGTCCCAATGACAAAGTACTACTACATATATATGTATAATATATATTATATATATGAGTACTACAATATATGTGTGTGTGTGTGTGTGTGTGTGTGTGTGTGTGTGTATGTGTGTGTGTGTGTGTGTATAAATTTCTTTTCAAGACAGGTTCTCATAATGTAGCTCTGGCTGTTCTGGAACTCTCTATGTAGATCAGGCTGGCCTCAAATTCACAGAGATCCACCTGCCTCTGTCTCCTGAGTGCCGGTATTAAAGGTGTGCGCCACCATGACCAGCCAAGTTTCACTCTTTTTTTAAAAAATTTATTTTTATTTTATGCGCATTGGTGTTCTGCCTGCATGTATGTCTGTGTCAGGCTGTCAGGTCCCCTGGAACTGGAGTTACAGATAGTTGTGAGCTGCCATGTGGGTGCTGGGAATTGAACCCAGGTCCTGTGGAAGAACAGTCAGTGCTCTTAACCACTGAACCATCTCTCCAGCCCCTCAAGTTGCATTCTTAAAGTCATTAAGTTTGAACCCTTGAGGGACTATTAGGAAGTAACTTACTTCATTCTTGTTTTTTTCATTTGATGGGAGAAGGAGCAAAGACCCCCAGAGTCCATGTTTGCTGGGGTCACTTAGCTAGTGCCCTACCAGGGCTAGAACTGCCATCCAGGGGACTGTTTGGCATGTGCTGCATTATAACACATCACTTTAGATCCACACATAAAATACAAAATGATAGACGGCACACTAATGCTATAAACGTTAACTTCTTACATTTAGTGTTAACTGACAAGATTATGTGGTGATTGATGCTACTATAACCAATTCATGTAAACACTAATAAAGGCATTGTTTTATTTAGAAGTAGCATGGCTTACCTGTTGTACATTTTTATCCTGCCGTTTGAATGTATCCTCCTCCCATTTTTCAACCAGGACATTTTGGGTGAGGGAATTCCCTCCGCCTGACACACAAACCGTGCAGTGCCAGCTCGTGGTCTTGTTAAACTTTCAGGCCATTCGACAAATGAAGGAGGAGCTATTTCAAATGGAAAAAAATTATACATATATATATATATATATGTAATATATATATTATATATATGTCCCATAGTTTCAATAGGAACGACAAAAAGAAGAATACATGAGACAAGCCCCATGTGTGACGATGTCAGAGAGTCTGAATCTTCTACAACCAGCTAGGTTTGTGTGCGGGGAGCTTTCCCTGTCAACTAGACACAACCTAGAGTCATCGGGGGAGGGACTGTCTACACTGGGTTGCCCTGTGGACGTGTCTGTGGAGGGCTGTCTTTCTGGTACTGGTAAGACACAGTCCACTGTAGGGGGCACCACTCCCTAGGCAGGGAACCCTGACCCATATGGAGTGGGGAAATCAAGCCAAACACAAGCCAGCAAGCGAGCATGCATGCATCCATTTCACCCTCCTCCTGACTATGGATGTGAGTAGCTATCTGAAGCCCCTTTGACTTCCCACAATGATGGACAATAATCTGGAAGTAACTGCAAGCTAACATTTACCCTTTCTCCTCTACATGGTTTTGGTGGAGGTGAGGTATTTCATCACAACAACAGAAACAGAACTAGGAGAGTGCCTCTCTGATGCTCAGCACCTACTCTCCTCCACCGAGACCACCTGTGAACACACACTCACACCCACAACCCATCTTAACTAAACCCAATGAGAGGACACTTGTGAACACAGTCACCAAGAGATTGAGTGTAGACTGTCAGATGTGTAGACACGTAGACGGATGAGAAGGAGAAGGGAAACGTAAATAAGAAGGCGCTTGAAGCTGTGCACACAAACATGATGGCTTCACAACATGATTGTAGAGCTGTATTTTAACACAGGGATTTAATTTTTTATTTCCCCAAAAACTTACTGCTGGGTTTTACAGTACTTACTATCAACCTCCCTATCACTGCTGGCAAACTCAGAGTTAAAAGAAAGCCATGTAGGGCTAGAGGATGCCTCAAGGGTTAAGAGCATTTGTTGCTCTTACAGAGAACTCAAGTTCATTTCCCAGCACCCACGTTGGGCAGCTCACAACCTCCTGTAAATCCAGCTCCAGGGAATATGGTGCCCTCTTCTGGCATCTTTGGGTACTGCACTCACATGCATATACCTATACACATACATACACATAATTAAAAACAAAACCTTAAAAAAGAAAACCGTGAAAGGAATTAAAATGGCAAACATTGAAACATAAGCATCTCCTGAGTAGAGAAAGAATGCATACCTAATACGGTCAAAGTTGCCATGGCAACCGTGAAGTTGCGAGTGCCAGGGGTGGTGGCCCGACAAACATACACTCCAGTGTGCTGTAGCTTGACATCTGATATTATGAGATTGCCATTTCCAAGTACCCGAGTGTTAAAGACATCAATGGATTTGTGATCTATTTCAAAGAGAACATGTAAATTGAAACAACGCACTTCATCTGAAATTATGCCAAATGATCACTATTCGTGAAATCAATCATTAAAAAGTAGCAATTTCTCGGGAGCATAAGCTTTCCTTACATCGCAAAGCTAAAAAGAAATCATTCAGGTTTAACTGCCAAATGTGTCTTATCTATAAAACACACATCTTATCCGTTTCACTAAAAAGAATGACGTTCCGAGGAAGGACTCCCTTGCATCCCACCCCCAGTGAGGAGGACAAATTACCAAGACGGCTCCAGGAAATGATGGGTTTCGGATATCCTGTGGCCATGCATTCTAGAACGACGGTCTGATGCAGAGACACAGTTACATTCTGTGGACCGGCTATAATGGTCGGCATGTAGAAGGGTCTGGACTCGTTAGCTTTGGGCAGGGAAAGACAGAATACATAAATCGTAAGAAACATTAAAACGCCAAATCTTCCTCATGTTTTCATTTATTCTTTCATTGTTTTGAGACAGGATCTCACATAGCCTAGGTCAGCTTCCAGTTCCCTATACACTCAAGGATGGCCTTCCGCGCCTGGTCTCTACCCCATGAGTCCTAGATTACAGGTGGGTGCCGTCCCACCCAGCTTACCTTTGCCTCCCATTCATTTCCTCCGACTCTCAGTTCCTGCCTGCCTATCTTTGTGTGGGTGTGTTACGTGGTGTGTTTGTGTGTGGTGTGTGTGCACAGGGACCCTGTTTGTCATCTCCCCTTCACTCCTGTGAGGCAGGGTCTCTCTCTGAACCTGGGGTTAGGCTGGCAGCCAGCAGGCTACCATGATCTTCTTGTCTCTGCAGGCTGGGAGTGCTCCAGATTCCCAACTTTGTGAGCTGCCACCCATGCTGGGTGGGCTTTGGTGACGCAGCTGTCTCTGAGTCATTTCTGACTAACCCTTCCCCCACATTCCTGTAAGTAACCCCAATAAAACTCATCGGTTTACTTTGGTGGTGTCTGCACTTTGGTCTGTAATGGAATTCCTAACTTGGATGGCATGTGTCTGTCTGTCTCCCCAGAAAAGGTCTGTCACGTGACACCCCCAAAATGCATATCCATTAGTGGTTAGTGCTTACGCTGAAGAATATCATATTAGAAACAAACATCTTTATTGGCAATGGACAGTCTCTTTCTGTCCCTGTCTGTATTTTATGCTTTTAAAAACAAAAGTGAAAAATTTATAAAGCAATCATTGCACATTTCTCAAGGAGGTTGACACAGAAAACACACTTGTCTGGGAAAGATTTGCTTAGTAAAAGGCTTTGTTCCAAATAGATTGCAATCCAGGCATGATGGCACACACCTGTAATCCCAGCCTTGGGGGAGGCAGAAGCAGAAGGGTTACAAGTTCAAGGCTAAGATGGAGCACAGAGAAAGTCTCTGAAAATAAGAAACTCAAACCAACTCTAGGACAAGAATTTAAATGCCATCAAAATTCTGACGGACAGAACACAACCAAGAGGAAAGAAGGCGGGACAGCCGAAAATCTCCTAAGAATGTGAGAAAACAGACAAACAAAAACCACGTTAGCATGGTACCCGGAATTATGGTGAGAGAGGCCTCCATGCTTTTACGCTTATGAGCTACAGTCGCCGCAACACAGCGGTAATTCCCAGCATCCTCTGGGCCCGCATCGTAGATCTGCAGTACTCCGGATGGCAGGGCAGTCACCCTGTTGAGACAAGAAGTGTAAGTGAACTTTCTGCAGATCTTTACACTGTACTAAATTTTCTACTGACAGAAATGAACACATTCAATCCTTTTAGCCATGGCAGAAACAATACTGTGAAGACCTTTTAACGTAGGAGCCTTGGCTGGGGTATGGAAGAGAACCAGATTCCCAACCCTGAAAAACAACACCAGCGAACACATCAGCTTGATTCTATTATTTCCATTTGAGTCAGGACAGGTCTCTGAGATGTAAATAATTCTACAGTACACCGTTTGTAAAATCTAGCACTCTCGTTTTACAGATCAGATCTTGTTAACATTCTTGTGCTGATTGAGCTGATAATGGCTCAGATCTTAGTATGATTTTATTCTCAAAATCCTGACTTTTTTTTTGGAGGGGTGTGATCCCACTAAGAGCTATTTATTCTGCACGACCCAGTTTCTAAAGGAGGGTCACCACGCCATGTAGGACCACAAAACTTGAATGTGGGGCAGTCATTAAAAAATGGGCAATAGTAAAAGGTGTGCAACAATAAAAATCAATTCAACATAAAATACGGAATGTATCTGAGCTGTTTCTGGTGAGCGGGCCCATGTGGCAGCATGTGACTTCACTCCTGAACACAGCACATTCGCACTCCACACTGTGGAAGCTGTCACGCCACACGCCACCCATGAATGCTACCTGAAACAGCCAGGCTCAGATTCAAGACTACTATGTGCTAGGAAATGAAGTGTCTTCACTGAATATACAAAGTTTTCTGTCCTTAATGAAATATAATGGCCTAATTATAGAAAACTAATACTTTTAGCAATTTCACAGCTGTAAATATCAAATTTAGATTGAGAAGTATTAGGGTGCTTAATCTTATTAATACTGTTTGAGTTGTTGACTTAAGTTCAATAAACATTGTTAAATGAAGCAGAGCAGTGGTGGTGCACGCCTTTAATGCCAGCACTCTGGAGGCAGAGGCAGGCGGATCTCTGTGAGTTTGAGGCCAGCCTGATGTACAGAGTATGATCCAGGACAGCCAGGGTTACACAGCAAAACCTTGCCTCAAAACAAATAAACAAACAAAAAAGATGTTAAATGAATTTTGGCTCTAAATTAAGGTAGAATCCTAACAATTTCTAAAGTATCCCTGAACACACTTCTGCTATTTCTTACGGTGTATTTATTTCTTACAGTGTATTTATTTGAAGCAGTGTTCTTAGTATTGAGAAATATAATGGAGCAGGAGAGATGGGTCAGTGGTTAAGAGCACTGGCTGCTCTGCCAGAGGACCAGGATTCAATTTCCAGCCCCCATGATTGCCCACAACTGTCTATAGCTCTAGTTCCAGGGGATCTGACACCCCCTCTGGCTTCTGCAGGCACTGCATACAAGTGACACACAGACATACATGCAGGTAAAACACTCATACACATAAAGTATAAAACAACGGATGAGCTGAAAACCATTGTGAATGTGTTACATTTCCTGTAGCATCAAATACTCCACTGAGACTTAGTTCTTTATGTAAAAATAGACAAGTATATCCACCTCACTTCTGGGAACAAATTTGCTTTCATCTTTAATAGCAAAATTATATGTCTACCAAACATTGTTTTAAAATAAGTATCATTTCATTTCAACAAATGTTTGCTTTTTATACCTATTTTATATACCTAGGATCATGTAAAAAAAAATTTCTCAGGAGCTGCTGGGAGTAGAAAAGGTTTAAGATGCAGACGGTGGTGG